CCCGCGGAGGCCCCATGCCAGGCGGGGGAGCTGCGGGACCTGGACGAGCAGCGGCTTTGGGAGCTGCTCGAGCAGCATCGCTACCGCATCGTGCGCAGCACCGTCCCCAGCCGCCTCACCCCCTACCTGCGCCAGGCCAAGGTGCTGGACCAGCTGGACGAGGAGGAGGTTCTGCACAATCCCCAGTTCACCAACAGCGCCATGAGAGTGGGTGAGTGGGGGCTGCAGCGCTGCCGCCGGGGTGCCAGCTCCCTCCTCTGCTCCCGGCTCCAGGAGCTCCCGGCATCGCCATCTCTGCTGGGAAGCAGCCGGGTTTGGATGCACCCAAGGGCTGGGGGAGGCATCTGCCTTGTGCAGCCCTCAGAGCCCATCCAGCTGCTCCTGCAGAGCTGAGCCAGGGCCAAGGCCCCACTGCAGGGATTGCTCCTTCCAGGGATGGGTGTCCCTGCCCTGGTGTCCTGGCTGTTGGTGGTCTGTGTTCTCCTCCTCTGCCCTAGGTCACATGCTGGATCTCCTGAAGAGCCGTGGGAAGAACGGGGCTCTAGCTTTCCTGGAGAGCCTGAAATTTCACAACCCAGACACCTACACGCTGATCACGGGCCTCGAGGCCTCCACTGACCTCCACCGCTTTAGTGGTGAGAGCCGGAGTCTGCGGGACGCAGCAGGAGCAGCTGAAACGCGTGCGCTGGGGAGCGCGGTCCTGAGCGGAGCCTTCCTTCCCAGGCCTCATTGAGAGCTCCAAGCTGACCGAGTGCCTGGCCAAGGCCGTGACCAGCCTGCAGGAGGAGCTGGCGCAGGAGCACAGGCAGCGCGTGGCCCTGGCACAGCACTGCAGCCGGCTCAAGGAAAGCGTGAGCCGGCTGCAAGCCCAGAACCGGAGCTTGACAGACGTCCAGGCCGACTACGACCGCGTGAAGAGGGAGGAGAGCAACCACTTCCACGAGGGGCTGAAGCTGAAGGACGAGCTGTACAACCTCTCCATGCACTACACCAACGCCCTGAAGGAGAAGGACTTGGCCATCACGCGGTGCCAAGCGCTGCAGGAGGAGGTAGCTGGCGCCGGCTGCGCTGCAGCCCTGGGAGCTCCCTGTCCCCATGCAGGCAGGGTCTGCACTGTCACCTCCCCTGCAAACTCCTCCCGGCCGGGATTCCTCTTCTCCCAGCCACGTGCCTCCAGGAGCCGGGCTGGCCCCTGGGACATGGAAGGGGGACAGCAGCTCTCCCAGCCCAGGCATAAGGGACTTTGTGAGCGCTCCGCAGAGCCCTGCGCTGCTGAGCCCAGCTGGGAGTGCTGAGTGTGAGCAGCTCTGCTGGGAAACCCAAGGGAATGGGCCAAAATTGCAGGCTCCAAATAGGTTTTTCTCCCACTGTAGTTTTATGGGACTGGAGAGGAGGTGACTGGCTGGGGAAGGGCTGAGGCCCCGTTTCGGGCATCATGCGAGCCCGATACAGCAATAACGCCTGCGGCAGCAGCCGGATGCACCGTGCAGGGTGGACGCTGACGCTGCCGCCCGGCCGGCCCCGCAGCTCTACCTGGTGAAGCAGGAGCTGCAGCGAGCCAAGGCGGATGCGGGCTGCGAGGAGGGGAGCGCCCGGAGAGGCCCCGGCGACGCGTGCGCGGACGGGCTGCTGACACTGCAGGAGGAGGACGAGGAGCTGCCATCGCTGAGGGAGCTGGGGACCTTCAGCCTGGTGCGGGGACACCCCTCCCGGCCGGCCCCGCAGCGGGATGTGCCGTGCGCCAGGCGGGCTCTGAGCCCTGTGATGCACAGGTGGAGAAGGACATCCTGGAGCAGCACCTGGACGAGGCTCCGGAGGGCCGGCAGCAGCTCCTGGAGCGCATCCAGCCCCTGCGGGAGAGGGCGGCTGCGGCCGAGCAGCGGCACAAGCAGGTGAGGCCGAGGGGCAGGCGGCAGGGCAGCGGCATGGGGGGCTCCGCGTGGCCACCCACCAGCTCCCCGCAGAGCGGTGACAAGAAGGAGCACGCGCTCATGGAGAGCCACGAGGCCAGGGTGGACTCCGAGGTCTATAGGGAGAAGATCTGCTCCTTCCAGGCGCAGGTGGCCGAGCTGCAGAAGGAGCGAGACCAGGTACCAGGGCTCCGCATCCCCTGGCGCTGTCCTTGCCACAGCTCTGCCTTTTCCCCGGGCTGCTGCAGCCGGTCCTGACCGTGCTGGGCTTTGCCCTGGCAGGCGTTCAGTGCCCGGGATGCTGCGCAGCTCGAGAGCTCCCAGAACCTGCTGGAAAAGGACTCGCTGCGCAGGAAGGTGTTTGAGCTGACGGAGGAGATCTGCGAGCTGAGGAAGCAGGTGAGAGCCCGGCGTGCCGCGGGGCTGGGACACGGTGTCCTCGGGGCTGGGGTGTTCTCCGGGGACGTTCAGGGATGCTCTGCCCAGTGCCAGCCCCAGCTCCCTGCAAAGGGCCCCGCAGGCGGCACCCGTGGGGCCTGTGGGACACAGGGCAGCCCAGAGCACCCGCTTCTGCTCTGGCAGGTGAGAGGGGACGCGGGGGCTCCCGCGGAGGCCGATCCTCAGGGCCGGAGGAGGAAGCAGCGGCTCGTGCGCATGCATGCCCTGTGCCCCAGCGACGAGAGCCCGGGCAGCACCACCGAGGTAGGCGCTGCGGCCCGGCCTTTCCCCGCACCCTGCGCAGGGATGAGGAGCTGGCGGGGGCCTGCAGGGATTCCTGGCCGCGCGATGCCAGTGCGTGGAGGGGAAGCTTCATCGTGGCTCTCCCCTTGGCAGCTTTGGTGCAATCCAAGCACGAAGGGGAGCCGCGACTCGGTGGAGAGCTGCCAGTCGTGCAGCCCCATCTCGCCCAGCAAGAGCCCCCTGCAGAAGGGAGCGCTGGGGGGCTACCCGGAGAGCCCCCGCTCCGGGAGGTAACTGCCCCGGCCGTCCCGCTGCAGCCCGCCCGGCCGGGGACACTCGCGCTCCCCCTGCCCTGTCCCCCGAGCCCCAGCAGCCACAGAACTGCCCGGAGGTCCCTTAGCCTCGTGGTGCTGCAACTGGCCTCGCTCCCGAGGCGACGCCATGCCCTCGTGCAGCGTTTTCCTGCTCCATCCACGCTCAGCCCATTCCTCATTTTCCTGCAGCAGCTCCCAGGGCTTCCCGGAGGTGGACGGGGGTCTGGAAGAAGCCCCACTGGAGTCTGCTGTACGTGACAAGGACGGTGGGTATCTCCAGGCCCTGCTGGCAGGGCCTGTCCCTCGCCTCATCTTCAGTTTGTCCCAGTCTGTCCCTGCAGCAGAGCCACCCGCTGTGATGGCCCCATGCAATCGGGACCTGCCACCAGCCCTTGCCACCTCCCTCCTTGCGCTGGGGACGGTCACTTGGACTGGGAATGGCGGGAGGAGGCTGCCCGGGACTCCCGGAGCCTCCTGCCCTGTGACGCTGCTGGCAAAGGTCTCCTTTCCCTCCAGGCTGCCCGCGGCTGGGCTCGGAGCCTTCGGCCTCGGACAGGTGGGTCTTGTTCTGCCCCCCGGAGCCCTGCGGGTGCCCGGGGCTCCTGGTGCTGCCCGCGGCAGAGCCGGAGCCGGAGCGGGCTCTGCAGGTCGGTGCTGCTCCCGCACCAGGGCTGCTGCCCCCGGGCTGCCCATGCGGCGCCGGCCAGCCCTGCGCATCCTCGGCCGCGTCACCACCATCGCCTTCGACGGCACGGCCCTGCTGGAGCAGATCGGCGTCATCGGGGGCAACCAGACCGGCATCTACATCCACACGGTCACCCCCGGCTCCGCTGCTGACGAGATGTCCTTGTCCCCGGGGAACCAGATCATGGTGGTAAGGGCTCTGCGTGTCCCAGCAGGGCTCAGCGGGACGTGGTGGCCTCGAGCATCATCCAGGTGACAAGCCTTCCTCCGCTGCCCTTGCTCGGCTGCTGGGCTCTCTCATCCCCAGGTGGACTACGATGGCCTGGATTTCAAAGCTGTCCTGGAGTATATGACGCTGGAGGAGGCCCTGTGGGTCCTGAAGAGGGTGAACAGCTTCTGCTGTCTCTCCGTGAGGCCCAACATGGAGGGTAGGGCCTTCCCCCCAGCTGCCCTTGACCACCCCAGGGACATCTCCGCTGCCGGGCTGTGCTGGGGACGACGGGACCTGCGTCCCTTGGCTCACTGGCATCTCCTGGTCCCCCCAGGGTACAACAAGCTGCTGAGTGACCTGCAGGATAAGGCAGTGACCTCTGGAGACTCCTTCTACATCCGAGCCAACCTGGCCATAGAGGGGCAGGGCCGGGGGCAGCTACCCGTGCTCTGCAACGACATCTTGCATGTCACGGACACTGTGTTCGAGGGCAGGAGCCAGTGGCACGCCTGCCGCGTGGACCCCTACAGCATGAAGGACACGGACGGTGGCATCATCCCCAACTACTACCAGTGAGTGCCGGGACGGCGGCCCCGGGCAGGGCACGGCCGTCCCGGGTACCACGGAGCAGGTTGGGTGGTCGGGATAGCGGGAGCAAGGGGGATGCAAGGAGCTTCTCGCCGCCGGCTGGGCATCATTTTTGGCTGTGCAGGGTTTTCCTCTCCTGCGAGCCTGGAGAGCGGAGCCAGGAGGTGTTTCCACATCCCAGCCCCGCTCGCGTTCCCGGTGCCACTCTCCAGTGCAGCTAAATCCCTGCTTCCCTCCTGCTCAGGGCCCAGCAGCTGCTTATTTCCCGGCTCGAAGACATGGCCCAGGTGAGCAGGATGGCCAGCAAGGTGAGGCCGCCCGGCCGCGGGGCGGGCAGGGGCCGCGGGTGCCCCG